CGTCTTGTTCGTCGAGGTCTGCCGTAGCCCTTTGGAGCATCATGCTGAAGAAGATTGTGAATAAGGTCGGTGCGAGAACGCAACCTTGTTTCACACCATTGGTTATTGGGAAAGGCTCAAAGAGTGCATCGCCATACCTGACTTGGCCTTGCTAATCCTCATGTAACAGAACAATCATTTTGAGGAACTTGGGGGGACAACCTAATCGGTCCAAGATCAGCCATAAGGAGATAAGGATAAGGAGCTGCAGAACATGGACGCGCCGCCTACACCTCCCCGCTGCCGCAACCTCAATCACTCGCACGCCGGCGGCAGCAGCAGGCTCCGGCAGGCTCCCACCCTTGTCTGCCCATGGGCAGAGGGCTATGATACTCGTCCTCCCCTCGCCTTTGTGTGCTCTGGCAGGCGCAGGTATGTGCTGTGGGGCGGAGGGGGCTCTACTCCTCCCAGTGAGAGGTGGGAAGAAACACAGCCTCTGTCCCTGAGGTTTTTCACCCACAGCAATGGTCTGTTAACAGATAACGATTCAGTCAAACATGCTGCCCTTCAAAATAGATTTTTTACTATTAGCTCAAGGACATGGTTGTAAAGACTTTGATGAGATGTGTTGCATGAACCTATCTGATCATTCTGAGTCTGTCCATGAGGCAATTCAAAACCTAAAGGATGGAGTTCAGAAGTTGTGAGGGGACAGTAGCTGGAATTGGCTAGAAAGTTTGCTGTCAGGATGGGGCATCAGTGCATGGTTGAAAGACATTATTAAAATCACAGTAGCCTGTGTAAAAAACTTTTTATATATTTAAATCACAGTTCCTTGTTTAATTGCTTGTATAAATTGTTTAATCGCTAAGTCTATTAACAAAGTTTTGTTAATTTATAAAGAAGGGGGAGATGAGGGGAATGCTGCAGAAGCTGCTCAAGTAGACCTGGACGAGAGCCTGGACATCTGGACTCTTATCAGCCACAAACCTTGGAAGAAGTGAACCATAAAGTTGGGAAGAACTGGAGAAAGAACTTTGGGTGGAACCAAAGAAAAAACATCAAGATAATTTCTGAGGACTGTAATTTTGGAAACAGGAGGATGCTTAAGACAAGATAAAGAATGTGTAGTCAAGAGGAAACAGAAGTGATGATGTAATGAGTAGTGATAGCAAAAAACTATTTTTAGAAACAATTACTCAAAGGCGCATGGACAGTAATGTGATTGGCTGAAAGAGTGCGTGATCAGTAAGATTGTTTTGTGATAGAAAAGTACCAAAGGAGCTAACTGCTACTAATGGCTAGGCAGAGTACTATAAAAACCTGTAAGCTCACTCAATAAGGGATTTTGTTCGTAGCCAGGAACAGAATCCGTGCCTCACTTGCCACAAGATCAGGTCTGGTAAGGGGTGCCATCCTATATAAAAGATGGCCCATGTGCAGTAGGGACCTTAGGCATGTTTATCCCTAGTAACACTATGGTAATAAATAAGCGAGGATTGCATTCTTGAAGGTCAACACATGCTTTTTAACCAAGCTGTGATGACAAAGTAAATTTTTGGAACCCAGGTGAAATAATAGCTACTTCATTTTTAGCCCCTGGAGTAGCTAGTGCTTGAGCTTTAGCAACATCGAATAAGTTAGGATGTTGGCTTGATAAGCAAACTAATGCTACAGCATTCACGCTCTCTGCGTTGCTCACTGATGTTGACTCTATTAGACACGCAACTTTGCAAAATAGAGCAGCAATTGATTTTCTCCTCTTAGTATATGGACATGGGTGTGAAATTTTGGAAGGAATGTGTTGCATAGAGCTATAACTGGGTGGCTATCCGGTTAAGGGAGGATTGATCTTTTTGCTTGCTCTCTTCGCCATCATATATGTATGTACCTTGCTTGTTACAACATATGCAGCGAATGTTATCCCAAGCTTTTGAAAGACGCCTATACTGCATTGCAGAAACAAGAAGGGGGAACTGTGGGTGTTGAAATGTATTGACACTGTCAGAGACCATGGGAAGGAGGAACTACAGCAGGCAATTAAGAGTGACCCATGCCTGACTGGTACTTGGAAGATGTTGGAACTGGCAAGGAACAAAGATGTCGGAACTGGAAAGGGTGTTAAGAAAATCAGATAGACCTTTCACCTGATGTAACCACAAGGCAAACGCAGATGTGCTTGGCTAATTGCTTGGAAGCATATAGATATCGTGTAATCTTAGAATCATAGAATAGTTAGGGTTGGAAATGACCTTAAGATCATCAAGTTCCAACCCCCCTGCTATGGGCAGGGACAATAAATGATCCAGCTTGCACTCTACCTCTGGGTCCGTGTCTCCATCCTCACAAAAAATGATCACTATTTCAGTGACAAAAGCAGCTGTTTATAGTCGTCTACTGACTGAAACCTTTGATAGGTATGTTTCCAACAGTAGGTCAATAAGGACAATATGAGCATCTGTCTCTTAGAGGCTCCTGGCATCCATCAGATAAAATCAGTTCTGGGAGCAGAGGCAGAAAAACTAGTTTCTGTGGCACAGCTAAGAGTATGTTTGTTCTGCATCATTTACCATGCTGTGCAAATACAGGTCTTGTCCTCCAGCCTATTTGTGCTTATTGAATTTTAGCGCATCCTTTTCAACACAGGTGCTTGTGTAAGTTCAGTCGTGCTCCATTGCAGGCTGCTTTTTCAGCTAGACAGCAGTATTTTGGGGAGTGTTGAGTTAATGTGAAGAAACCTCTGCTCTTTTTATTTTTGTCTTTAGGAATTTCACCTAGAAGTCTTTGACACCTACGGCTGGATTTCAGACTTGGCCCCTGTGTGGAGCTGTATGTGTTGCTTCAGGCAGATTTTTGGCCATGGGTACCACTCTTCACTATTATTTTCCCTTGTCCCATAGTCTTGCTTTGTTTACCTTCTACGTGTCCCTAGAAGGCCAAGCACAGCCTGCTTCCCCCCACACCACACATACAGGCGATGACAGGTTTATGTGCCTGCCAGCTTGTGTTGGTCTCTTATCATCATAGCTTGAGAACATGTCTCTGACCCCTTTTTCTTCATTCTGACTTCTGTAGCTTCAATGAACTTTTTTTTCCCCTGTTGCTATAGTTACACTGCCTTTGATGAAATCAGCTAGATCCTTCTCTTACGGTTGGAGTTAGTTCTTAGCCCTACTGGTTCTGGCAGTAGTTCCATCCAATGTTAGTTTCATGTAAGCCTCGTGTCCATATTTTTGGACTTCTTTGCATGTTTATTTCTCTTCCAGGAATACTGTTACCTATGTAAAATAAGCTTATAGCCATCTCAAAAGTAAAATTAAGCCTTGCAGGCCACAACTGTTCCAGACCTTAAACTGATCCATGCTGACTTTTAGGTTGTCCGTCAGTCAAAATTGGTGGGGGTTCCCTGGTTGCTTCTCCTCTGTTCTTCTGAAATATTAATTTACTGTTTTCTGGGTATTCAAACTCCCACATACAGAGGTTTTCAGAACACTATATTTGCTTCTTCAAGTTTTTAAGGGAGGAAGTACAATTTATATCTGTCAGCTGAAGCAGTGCCTGGGACTGTGCTGAGAGACAAGCAGTATTTATATATATATATATATATATATATATATATATATGTAAGGCAAGGACAGCCTGCTTTTGTAAGTACATGCTGAAGTTTTTAGCCTTCCTTTTCTCAACACAAAGCTCTGAAGTTGCTCTGGGCATATGTTACAGGAAGAAGTGTATGAGAGTGCATGGATCTCAAAGTGTGGGCATGGCTAGGTACCCAGCCAGCTGGTCTGACTTGATGCCGGCTTCAGTCATTGAAGGTCAGTTGAATTGCAACGAACCATAGGCAAGAGGTCTGAAATTAGTGTGCTATGCCCAAGGCTGTTCTAGTAGTAACAGCAATTGACTATTAAGGGGTTTGGGGTTTTTTATGTCCCCATTTGTTAATATACGGGACTACTGATCTCAAGCTCTATATAATCAGTCAGTGCCAATGAGAACTGGAAGTGAGTGCTGTCAGTGTCTCAAGTTAAATTTATTCAGGAATAAAGGTGAAAAAGTTTGGCTCCTAAAATCCCAGATGAAAAGATGCACTTCTAGAATCTCTGACCCAGCATAGAACCCATAGGAGAAAGTAGTAAATTTACCCTTTTTTTTTGAAGGTTTAAATCTCAAACCAATTTGTATCCTGGCTTCCCAGACTTAAAGAACATGCGTACTGATCTGTAACCAAATGTGGTGACTTGCTCTGTTCATAATATTTGCTTAGGAAAGAAAAAAACTTTTTGCAGAGCAATTTCAAGGCTCTTACCAGTGGCGCAATTTTGTTCATTTACACATACGGTAAACTGGGAAACCAGGAACCCTTAAAGAATGAAACACCTAGGTGAAACCTACAGTTTATTTTGGTAGGAGATAAGATTGTCAGCCTTACTAGTCACAGTGTGCACACTGAAAAGTGAGTAACAGATACAGTCATCAGTGATACCAGTTTTGAGAATTGCATCTTCTGCATTTTCATCTTCCAGTTTAATTCTGAGTTCTCTGGTAAAAAGGATGTTCCTCAGTAATTCTGCTTTGTCTCCAGAAATGACATGCATGTGGTTATTCACAATTGTTTCCAAACATCACTGTTATACTTCTGGTTTTCTTTAAGCAAGTGCTTTCAGTTTTAGTGGTTGGATGTTTGCCTTTAGATATAGATGAAGCCTATCTGCTTCATCTGAGAAAAGGGTTTGCAGTATTCATAGAGAGAATAAATCATTGTTCTCGTATTTCTCACTTTGCACTTGTCTTGCCTCTGTGATTTTCTGCAAGGTAATATCTTGTTAAGCAAACACAGCAATTTAGTGATTAGCATAAATCAGGTTCATGTCAGTAGAAGCAACATCCTTAAAAGCAACAGCTGGAAGTCTTTCTCTGTGGAATTTTTTTTCTACTACCAGCTTTAAAATATCTTCATAACTGTGATTTGTTGCTGCTGATCACTGTTGCTAACAGCGATCCTATTCTTCCTCTTTCAGAATGAGAAGGCTTTGGGGCATTCCGTGAGCCGCTCTAGTAACATTTCAAAGGTATGTTCCTCGATATGAACTCAGTCTTTGATAAACTTGGGGATACTGGGATTTCTTCATTTCAAAACCAGGGTAATATATGCGGTAATGTAACTAGTAAAAAAACGCTTCTTACGCCTGTCTGTTATTGATAGTTGCTTCTGTGAAACGTTAGAACTCTGGTGTTTTGTAGATACTCTTTACAGGTCAAATGAAATGGAAGCTACAGTAGGTTTTCTGTTTCACACTGTCAGCCTCCGTAGCTTGGTAGGAGCAAGATAGATGACAAACGCCTGAGATCATATCCTGGGGAGAAAATTGCTCTGAAAACATCACTCAAGTACGTTCTTTTATACCATCAGTTATCTAACATAATCATAGAATCGTAGAATAGTTAGGGTTGGAAAGAACCTTAAGATTGTCTAGTTCCAACCCCCTGCCATAGGCAGGGACACCTCACACTAAACTATGTCACCCAAGGCTCTGTCCAGCCTGGCCTTGAACACTGCCAGGGATGGAGCATTCACAACTTCCCTGGGCAACCCATTCCAGTGCCTCACCACCTGCACAGTAAAGAACTTCCTCCTTATATCCAATCTAAACTTCTCCTGTTTAAGTTTTAACCCATTACCCCTTGTCCTGTCACTACAGTTGCTAATGAAGAGTCCCTCCCCATCATCCCTATAGTCCTCGTTCAGAAACTGGAAGGCTGCTATGAGGTCTCCACACAGCCTTCTCTTCTCCAGGCTGAACAACCCCAACTTTCTCAGCCTGTCTTCATATGGAAGGTGCTCCAGTCCCCTGATCATCCTTGTGGTCCTTCTCTGGACTTTTCTCTGTAAGATATGTGTAGCCATGCATCCTGTAATATCTATTGGATGTGTGCTTATTATTTTATTGTCATTTCAACACTGAATTATTGTTAGAACCATGAAATCCATTGCTGTCAAGGCGTGACTGTGTAAGTATTTTTAAATGTTTGCTCTTACAGGCCTGTATCTTGTAAGTGATGCATGATGCTCTACCCATTCAGTATACAGGCACACTTCAGTATAGCCAATGGACACATGAAAAGCACAATGGCTTTGTTATGCAGTTATGGAGAAAGTATCCTCTGTCCCAGATAACTTATTACAACACAAACTTTACTCCTGCATTACCATAGATGAGATTTTTAATTAGCTGGAAGCCTGATGCCTTTTTGCTTACACAAGGACAGTTGCTTAAAGCCTTCATGCAAGCAAGATGTACTAATTGACCATTTTTTTTCTGTGGTGCAGAAGCCTCAACACTTTGTTGCCACAGTACGTTGCTGGTAATAGTGGCTTTTAATGAGAGACTGAATCATATGCCTGTGACAAGCTCAAGTCCCTCTTTCTATTCTGGGCACTTCAGGATATAGGAAGCTATTCATGCCTATCTCCAGCAGAGGAAACAGTGGTTGAAGTTAATTTATGGTTTATATGGGCACAGACAACTTCCATTTTGCAAGATTAGGCTGGGCTTAAACCATGATGCTGGGTATCTGAAATAATGAGCAGGGCAACTGTCCAATGCACAAGATACTGACCAAGCTAAAGGTGGTGTTATTGTGGAGTGATGTGGGATTGTATTTTCCATTCAGCATCAGAAAATGGGCATTCACAGAAAAGGATGTGAAATAAATACTGTGTGAGTATAACTTCTCCTCTGTGCTTCTCTAAGTTGGGACTGTGCCTGTTACTTCTTACACTGGCTCTTCTCAGGGATCTCTCACTGGGTTTTCAGGCATTGTTCATCATAGACGGTAGTTTATCATTAAGTGTACTTTTCCCAGGGTGTCTGAAATTCAGCACAAGCCTTTTGATGGCAGCATTTGGTACCCAGATGAAGCTGCACAGTTCATTCTTAATACATTGGGAACTGGTAGTGTGGCACTGCAGTGATGAGGTCCTTGCACTCTGGCAAAGCTCTCCCTGGGAGTGCTGGCAAGTGAGATCTCAATATTTGCATTCATCTTGATACACTGAAACATCCAACATGATTGCTGTGCATTGCAACAGCCTAAGATCTCAAAGGGAACAAAAGTAAGCTTTGTCAATGGGTGAGATGTTTTGATTGCAAACATGAGCTTCCCAGAGGTATTGATGTTCTTGGGGTTCCTCTGATGCCTCCGTGTCTGATCCATTCCTTGAACCTACACCACTCTGGAGATAGCTTCTAACGAGGGCAAGAGGTAGAAATCCTATAAGTAATATCAGCCTCTTGGTTTATCTCATACAAAATGCTGCTTTGCACATCCAGTCAGCTCAGTGCTAAGCTGCAACACTTCATTTTGCAGTCTACAGGTGGGTTGGCTGTTGCAAGCAATTTGTAGGACAAAATCAATTATAGTAGATACAGTAGTGGGATGCTGCACGGAAGCTTAAGTACATGGAAAAATTTTCACCAGCTCTGAGGTCTAATAAGAAAGTGCCTTATATTTTTGTTTAGAATAGTATAATATCCTAGCCAATAAGGCAGATTGAATACATGTGAAGGTGATAGTATGGGAATGCTTGGCTGCCTGTGTAACCCCTTCTGAAACCCACAGAGCTTGTTGATAGTACACCATTCTAAGAAGAGCTATTTAACCGAAATTGAGTTTCATCAGCTGTATGCTGTATTTCCAGATACGTTGGGGGTGTGTGTGTGTGTGTACAGAAATAATGATCACGCTTCCTGCAAATGACACATTCAGCTATTATTTTTCCACCTAAATCTAGATCACAGCATACCATTGTTGCAAATCTGCTACAAATGCTTGGCACTGATACTTGATTCAAAGCCTTTCTGGTGCTAATATGTCGTTATGAACCTGCTGTGATTATTACTGTGTATCTTTCCACTGCTCTCAGTTGCACAGTGCAATATGGGTGGAGAGGATTGAGTCAGAACTCAGCCTCTAGCCAAGAGAGGATGCTGTGTTACTTGGTCTGACCAAAGAGAGCAATGCCTCAGGGCTAAAAGTGGTCAAGGAGGGAGGCAGACAGATGGTGCCACTGAAAATGGGATCAGCTGGCAGAGGCAGCAGGGTCTTTCCAAACAGAGACCACAAGTGTTCAGGCCAGGTGGAGCTGTCCCTTGGGATGAGGGGGCAAAAAAGGCAGTTCTCCGAGAGGCAGATGCTAAGAGAGGCTGGAGAGATGCTAGTACATGTGGCCTGGCCAGAAAGAAACACTCACCTGAATGCTTGACATGGGATGGAGGCCAGAAGCAGCAGAAAAAGGAGTAGGGAATAAGATGTAGGAGGATCTTCATATAGTGCTATTAGGTTTTGTGCAGTCTGTTGCACACTGAGGGATGTGGCATGTCTCCAGGCCCTTCCTTGCTGTTTTGGTGTGTATACTTCAAACATTCCTTTTAAATTTGCTCCACATGAAATGCTTGAATTTCTGGAATTTTTTCTATGTTTGTTTTGAAATAAATAAATGTTGAAGGCAGGTTGACTTGATCTACTCATGGGAAGGGGATATGGCCTGATTCCCAACTTACCCTGTTGAATCACAGTGGTGCTGATTGAAACACTTCATATTGGCACAGGGGTATATAGCCCAACTCCACATCTCAACTATTTACCTTAAGCCAGCATTTTTCCAAAGAAGCCACCATTCACTGATGAGTGCCTTCATCATACAAGCCAAACAGAGAAATAATTGAGCTTTATAGAAGCTTCATCGTCTAAATGTAGATGAAATTGACCCTGAAACACAGCTAGTCACCAAAAGCAACTGAAAAAGGTATTTTCACAGTGGTGGTAATTCATACCCTCTGCTCTTAGATAAAGGAATTGTGCTTGCAAGCAGATTAAACAAGGTCACTAACGGAGGGGCTCTGCAAACAGTTATCCTTAAATTAGTGATATTGTTTAGCTTTAAAGTGTCTGGTATAGCCTGAAACTGTTATGTGATGTGTGGAAATCTCTTCAGGTCATCTGTGTGCTATTCTGATCACCTGATTGCTCCAGAGGGCTGATTTTAGAGTAGTGGGGAAGCATTTTGTACTCTTTATTTTCATGGCTCTCTAAGGGGTAAGCTTTGAAAATGCTAATACTGGGATCACAGCAGAGGAATTAAAAGTGCATTCTTTCAAAAATATAAATGCTTTGTCTTTTCTGTACATTTTTTTCTTTAGAGCAGAAGCACACTGTAAAGTATTAAATTATTCTTAGGCTGAATGGCAGCCAGTGCAAATGCAAAGTGGTAGCCTAAGCTTGCTACGAAATTTAAAATCCATTTAGGCTGTTCATCAGCTTGGAACAGATTTAGGAAAGCATATGAATACACACATCCACTGTTGCCTGGAGCTTTGATGGATTCAGTGAGTGTTCATCTGTAGAAAAGCAGTCCAGGTTTTTCAGTCACAGAGCTTAGCTGTCCTTTAGTCTATCAGATGACCAAGGTTCACGGAAAGGAGGTGCTGCTCGGAGGTGTTCTGTTCAGGTGCATGCGCCTGGGGGTAGCAAAAGAGAAGTTGCTTAAAAAAAAATAAAAATTTCTTCTACTGAGCTGTTGGGGAAAGAAAAAGACAGGAAAAAATACATAGTGTGAAGATTAAGGTGTGCTCTTTTCCCTGCCCACAAGTGCAAGTAATGTCATGCTGGTGCATGGTGCGGTTGTGTTCATAGGGAGTGTGATTTTCTCCCTGTGCTGTGATAAATCCCCTCTCCCAGGGCTGGATTCTTACTTCATATAGGTATGATGGTACCCTGTGAAGGACAAACGTTCAGGTGTTTCCTCTTTTGTCCCCACAGTCAATTCAAGGTATTTTGAGGAAGATTTTACAGTCAGAGGGCTATTTTACTGATTTTTTCTTCTGCAGAACCTGTGCAGTTGCTACTGGGTTTAGTCAACGTTAATCCTGTGCTATAGGCAGGTTGAATTGCACACGGGGAGATTCTGAAAGGATAGGTAGCCTTCTTTCTGTATCAGCATTGGCTATGGTATATCTAGAGAAAGTTCCTGCCAGAATCCTTGTTTAAATTTTCTTAGGAAGAATGAAGG